CATGTATGCAGTGGTTCATTAACCCTAAACCCCATGCCCTTTTACTAGGAACCACCCTGAATCCTCTGAAATCCTCCAATTTTCAACATAAAAAATTATATTCAGCCCAAATCCTCCAAAATTTCTTGAAAATGTCATTTGGAGGTGTGCCTACATGTAACTAACTGAATCCTTCAAAATCCTCCGGCAACTCCTGTCTTTAGGTTGAGGCAGCACAAACGGCACTCTTGAGCTGTGCAGTTGATTCAAAACAAATATCGGGCTGAGTTTGTGCTTGACTAAGCACAAACAACAATGTCTAATCCATGACCTTCATGCATGTCATCCTTCAAAATCTGCCATGCACTTTTGCCATACACTCTGAAACTTTGCAGAAAAGGATTTGGGAGGGGTAGGGTTAAAGAACAACCCCAACGGTGGAAGAAAATAAGAAATCTGGCTGTAGTTTATTTACTTGGATCCTATTATAGACATCTATGCACCCGGATTCAGCACTATTTTTTGGTTAAAAAACTCACTTTTGAAACCTGTTTCTGCCGAGCACTATGGCTAACTTTCATCAAAGGAGTGTGTCGTCATCGCTTCATTTACATCTCATGAATATAGCTTTTCTAGGCTTTGGTCAATGTAGGACTTTGGAGACAGTTCTCTGACTGGTGTATGTAAGTACTGAACCAGCGCGGTCACATCAATGCACATATAGTAAAACGTGTGTTGTTACAGTTACACTGTCCCAAGTCCAAGGCGCAGAGTCTTATCGCTTTGAACCCATCGTGCCACCGAAGCACCAACGGAATCCCGATTGTGCTGACAAGGGGGCACTGCTGGTGAACAAGGTGGTGATGGAGACCAAGATCGTTTGATAAACACAGCTTGGTAGGCGTAAGTTCAGAGTGAATATGGTGAAGGAGTGAATGTTTTCTATGTTGTTAATGTTATTTTATTCCAAAAAATGTCCGGCTAGGCCCTGCAGCTCAGGCGTGCAGGCATTTATACCAAAACATACGCACGAAACCAGGTCCTGTGAGGCCATGACATTTTTCATTTCCACAGTGGTGCACAATTAAAACAGCATTTCTGCGCTGAGCCACCAACTCGGACAGTTTTTAAAAAACCCGCAGAATTGGTCCATATATTAGGGACCGCAACGGTCTACTGCGCACATT